ACTCCGGTGGCAAAGACCTATAGAGCTGCGGGCAGGCTGCCGCCTAACTGCATGTTATTGCCATCCTTCGGGGTGCTCAATGACATGCACGAGGGTAGGGCTGATTTGGGGCTCATCTAAGAGACTGCCTGCCGCCACTGACCTCGCTCTACAAGTGACGAAGGTGACCGCACGCTCCCTGGGTCAGGTGATGTCCACATGTGTGGTCAGACATCTCTGGCTTAACCTGTTTGATATGCGCGGGGCTGAGCGAACCCGCTACCTCAACTCCCCCATGTCCCAGGCTGGCCTTTTCAGCGGCGCAGTCGAGGACTCTGCCCAACACTTCTCGGCCGCCCAGAAGCAAACATGATCTGACCCCGTGGCCAGCTGCTACCACCCAGCCGCCGGCTCAGACGCCTCAGTCAGCTTGCCGCCGAACGCGCCGTGGAGGTGGTCGCAGGAAAGTGTCCCAGCCCGTACCAGCCCCGCAGCCTGCCGAATGCCAGGCAAAGTGGCGCTCCCATTACGGGCAGCTCAGGGATGGGTTGCAGTTCTCCAGGAGGTGGTTGCAGGGCCACTCCTTCCCCCGGTGGAGTGCCGGGGGAGAATCTCTTCTTCCAGAGAGCTGACTTTCCATCTCTAAGCACACAGAGTTCTCGGACGACAGTGTGCGCCCCCCACGGGCCTCGCCACTCTCGTCCCCCTCTGTCACAGAGTTCTCGGATGACAGTGTGTGCCGTCCCCGGGCCATACCACTCTCATGCCCCTCTGTCACCAGACCCCTGGCAGAGCAGGCCCCCGCGGAACGCTGCCGGTCCACGTCCGGGCCGGTCATTCTGATTCAGTTTGCACTGTCTCCTCCCCGCTTCAGGGGAGTCCGCTCTACTATGGTTAGTGGCATGTCCCTATCATGAGAGCAGAGGTTGCTACCCTACTGGCGAAGGGTGCGATCGAGACTGTCCCTACAGCCAAAATGAGGTCCGGGTTCTACACCCTCTACTTCATTGTTCCGAAGAAATCCGGTGGGTGACGGCCAATCCTGGACCTGCGCATCCTGAACCGCTCCCTTCACAGGCTGCCATTCAGAAAGCTGACGGCCAAACGCATCTTCGAGTGTGTGCGGCCCCAGGATTGGTTTGCAGCGATCGACCTGAAGGACACCTACTTCCATGTCTCCATTCTCCCTCGACACAGACCGTTCCTGCGGTTTGCTTTTGAGGGGCAGGCATACCAGTACGAGGTTCTCCTTTCGAGCTAGCCCTGTCTCCTCGCGTCTTTACGAAGGTTGTCGAGGCAGCCCTTGTTCCCCTACAGGAACACGGGGTTCGCATCCTGAACTATCTTGACGACTGGCTGATACTAGCTCACTCTCGAGACCAGGTTTGCGAACACAGGGACCTCGTGCTCCGGCACCTAGCTTGTCTGGGCCTTCGGGTTCACTGGGAGAAGAGCAAACTTTGCCCCGTGCAGAGGATCTCTTTTCTCGGTATGGACATTGACTCGGTCGCCATGTCCACGCAGCTTACGAGGGAGCACGCGCAGTCACTGCTGACTTTCCTGAGACAATTCGAGGGCAAGAGTGCGATTCCACTTAAACTATTTCAGAGGCTCCTGGGGCATATGGCATCTGCAGCCGCGGCAACGCCGCTCGGATTGCTTCAAATGAGACCGCTTCAGCTTTGGCTTTGCGACCGAGTCCCGAGATGGGCATGTCAACACGGCACCCTCCGAGTACCAGTTATTCCGACCTGCCGTCAGACCTTCTCCCCGTGGTCGAACCTCAGTTTTCTACGGGCTGGAGTGCCCCTGGAACGAGCTTCCCGGCATGTTGTTGTCTCAACAGATGCCTCCACCACGGGTTGGTGCGCCATGTGCAATGGTCAGACTCATTTCAGTGCAAAATAATTACTGGTAGGTCAAAAACGATTTAATATACTGCAAATAGCCTACTAGTTTTTTATGTTTATTTATAATTCTTTTAGGCGGACAATAAGGCTACCAAGTACTACGCAGCTAATTAATTTAATTAATTATCGTTTTTAGTCGATTTTTAGTCACAAATTTCAGGACTTCAGTCGACCAAGATTTTCTTTGGTTGATTACAGCCCTACATGAAAAGAGCAATGTCGAACCACGGCAAGAAACAGTATTTGTTAGGTTAGTTTTGAACACCTTACCATTGACAGCATCTCTATCCCTACAGAGGGAAGCAAGGTTATCTACCCTGGGACAATCATTCCGCTTGGGCAAGTGGATGGAGTTAGCGGAGTTCACAAAATTAATGGGTAGGATATCGACAGCAATAAATGTAGTGCCTCTGGGACTGCTCAAAGCACGACCACTGCAATGGTGGATCGCCAAATTTTAACTCCACCCCAAATTACACAGGGTGAGTGAAGTTGAAGGCCACACAGTAATGTGTTCAAGCTCTGCTTCCATGGGTAAGAAGAAGCAGGTTGGATCAAGGGGTTCCTCTGGGAAATATACCAGCAAGGAGAACGGAAGTGAAGGCCTCCACTGTGAAGGCCTCCTTTCCTTCCCTTTACTTTTGTACAGATAAAACGTTGTCAGGATAATTCCGGGTCATGTGGCTACGTGGAAGCGATAAAAAATTCTGTATTATACATTTTTCAAGGCTTGTACCTTGGAACCTTTTTCATGGTTTGCGTTCTCGAGCCACCAGGCACTGTTTTGTGCAAATGAGTGTCCGCATCGAATAAGGGGTTTTCTGTTAGAACGGTCTCGTGTTAGCGGCCCCTAAGTTAATAACTAATAATCTTTGCAACGGAAGTGAATAAATCAAAACTATATTTAGCTAGACAATAACTTTATTCTAGAGCTGCTGTAAAGCCAAAACAATCTCTGTTACTTTAATTTTATATTATCACTGTAAAGCTGCTTTGAAGCAATCTATACGGTTAAAAGCGCCACGGAAATGGTCGAGCACCCACAGAAAAATACGAGATATTCTCCATTGATTTTAACCAATAAAAAATCTATTTAAATCCATTTTAAAGAAGACCCATGGCAGATTATTGCTGAAGTAATATTATTGCATCAGATATCAGTGAGAGCGCGACTCACGACAACACTCATTGAAAGAATGTGTTTTTGTGTGGTTAGTAACATAGACTGTAAAAAAAAGTAAGCAAAGGTGTAATTTGCGGGACCTATGGTTTTTGCCAGGGTTGATATTGTCTCCACCACCTTTTTTTTTTATCTTTTTTTTTATATGGAGTGTGGGCACTGGGCACCCACCGGCAGAAACATCGGCGCCTATGATAGTAGATACTATTGCACATGCATACTCCAGTCAGAGCTTACCAGTCCCAGGGAACCTGGTACCTCATTCTACCAGGGGTCTGGCCACATCCTGGGCAGCACTGAAGGGTGGCACTAACGGACATATCCATCATGGAGCTCACCTTGTACCTTTGCCAGGTATTACCGGGTCAATGTGGCGGACCCAGTTATGCATACGGCCGGTCTCGGCCGCTAAAGAATGAGAGGCTTCCATCCCTCGTGACCTTTATGGCACTAGTCATCCAAGGTAAGACTGTGGTGACGGTCTGAGTCAGGTCCAAATAGATTGTAAGTAATGACTATACTATGGATCTATGAGACCAAATGATGACCGTCACCATTTCTTGTCACACGGGATGAACTGAGGCATTCCAGGCAACAGGAAGTGTTCGGTTCATCCGGCATGTTTTATAGGGAACCAACCATTTGGGGAAAGTCATCTGTCATTGTTTACATTAGGCCTTGAGGAGAGCTAGCAGAATGGCTTCATTCAAGGTGAGACCGTAGGTGAGACGGTGATCATTCGGTCTCTTAGATCCATAGTTATAGTCATAACTTACGTTTTGTTATTGGTATCTGAAGCTTGTGGAAAGGATCGGCTGTCTTCTGAACGGAGGTGGGGAGCAGGAGCTCATTTGCATTTAAAGGGACCTGCATTTTGCCCACACCCAAAAAGGGGCAAATTTGACAAGCTATAATAAATGATCTGGGGGTATTTTGAGCTGAAATTTCACAGACACATTCTGAGGACATCATAGATTTATATTACATCTTGTGAAAAGGGTCATAATATGTCACCTTTAAGTGGACTTTTTTAAATGGTTTAATTTTTTTTATTTTGTTCAAGTAACAAAAAGAAATATACAAGTTCCCTCCCACTTATCCAGCAGTGAATTCAATTATAGTATTTTTTAAAAATATGGCAGGCATATTTGAACTTTAGCTGAACAGACAAAATTAATAAATATATATCCTGGCATAATTCACTGCTAAAGCAACAGTAAACTTGTACAGTAAAATTTATAAAATGGCAAAAATCAGGGGAAAATTATTTTGTTATAATGAAAAAAGAAAACAGTTGTCATGATATCACAAAGAAAATAATCACTCGATACAAGATGTAGTGGAAAACATTATTTTTCTTTATTTTATTAAAGCTTTCTTTTAGTATGAGAGCTCCCAGTGGGAAAAAAGAAAAGCAAATGTAAGAACCATTTGAAGTGCTGTCAGAGATGTTCACAATCTAAAACATTTGCTTTAGAGCAATCATGAAACATCTTGCATGTGTATACAAGATAATCAACGCAAAATCAATATAGATGTAAGATCTTAATATAACTGTAAGGTAAAAAATAAGTCAAATGATTATCTAAAATAGACTACAAACAATAGATCATCTGAATAATAAAGAATATGAATAAATAAATCAAAAGATGAGTAAATGAATACCATAGTATGGATTTATGAATATGCAAGTTTATATGATAATAAAAAAAAGAAAGACAATAATAAACGGATTATAACCATAATCATAATAACCAGACCCACAACCACCCCTGAGATAACATACATACGTGCACAGATGGCATTAAAAAAGTAATATCCCTTATTTTCCATTAAAGTTAATAAAACAAAATTTCTATAAATCGCCTCAAAAGGCAGAATGGTCTGTGTTTTACAATACTTAATATTTTAAGTAGAGCTGTTCTTCTCTCTTATATGTCAAGCAAACATTAGCCATAAACATTATTTATAGGCCTGGCAAAATATTTTTTCAAATTGCAACACTGTTGGGGATTTTGTCTGGGGACAAATAACAATAAGCCATTGGTAATCCCTCATTCCGGCTCCTGATTTCTTTGGTCACCTCATCTAGTTTCTCGCCGAAAGTCTTTATGGCTTCCTTCACTGGTTGCTCTGTGAAGCACATCTCTGGATACGTGCCTAAGAACAGCTGGGGGAAAAGTAAGTTCTTCAGAAAGCAGAACAACATCTTTCTTTATTTTCACAAGGTAAACTGACCCTTCTCTAAGCTCCGCCCCCTTGGTTACTGTCAATCACTCACACAAGCTTATAAAACTAACAAAGAATTGGGATTTTCAACTTCTCTGAATGAAGTCTTACATTGCAAAGCATTTTAATTTGCTGTGTTTCTTTAAAGAACTTAAAGTAATATAAAATGATGTAACTGTGGATGTGTACATGTGTAATGTAAAATAATGCGGTAACATGATTAAGAACTGCAGATCAGCAGAGATCAGAATCAGGGCAAATGCTTTTTACATTCAGCTGAACAGAGAGAAGCCGATTACACCACTGTAAGAAATTATATGATCAATAAGTCATATTTTTCCATTACTTTATCTTATCGAAATAATTTAACCAATTTCAGCTTAATTTTATAAGTTGTACAAGATTCAAGTAAAATTTTAAGTCAAGATTTAAATAATGAGTTGATATGAATTGTACAGACAAATTGATTTATGATTTTCAGAGCCGGACAGTAACGGAGTACATTTACTTGAGTACAGTACTTAAGTACAATTTTGAGGGATCTGTACTTTACTCGAGTATCATTTTTGGGGAGTACTCATGACTTTACTCAAGTACATTTGAGAGGCAAATATTGTACTCTTTACTCCAATATATTTCTATCCATAACCGTGAGTACCCGAGTAAAAAAAAAAAAAAAGTAAAGAAAAATCTCGGAAACCCTCAATTTGTTGTTTCCCTCTCAAACGTGATTGGATTGTGCAGGCGCCACTGAACTGATTGGGACAGCCTATCAGCAATCACTTTCAGCTTTCCGCCAAAGTCAACTCCATGATCAGATTTTATATTACACATTAATGTAAGCCAAGCATTTGGTTTGATGTTCTTGAGTATGTGGTGTGTTTAACACAGTCAGGTTAAAATGTGGCAGTGGCGTAGCCACGAGGGATTTCTGATTTCTTTAAAAAAAAACTTTAGGAGGCAAAATATATTTTTACTGATTATGTGAATTACACTGCGCAAACCAAAGTAGGCTACTACCCAGCGAATGAAGAAGGGTTGGCGCTCAGTCTCCACAGTACATAAAATATTAATTTTGTTTTATTTTATTTTTCGGGTTTGCATTTATGAGGAAAAATCAATGTTATGGACGTGTTCTCCGTTACGGACGTGAGCGCTCTGAAAGCGGCATAAAAAATGCTTTAAAACTTTCACAGAGACATTAAACAGAAAACACAAAACCTTTCTTTAACCTGAATTTCGTTTTGCATTAATTGTATCTTAATTTGAATCAATGTTTCATCAACCAATTGCCTGGGTTTAATAAATAAGAAGTAAATAGCAGACGATAGATAAGAAACGGAGGCGCCGGCACGTGAACTGGATCTCGTCTCATAAATGAACCGAAACACAGTGTATAAGGTAGCCTACTTGCCTCACATGTCTACTTTTAAACAGAAAAATTCAAAACGAAAGAAAACGTACTCGGTTACTAACGTAACCTCTGTTCTCTCTAGAGATGGAACGAGTACTGCGTAATAGCTTACGCTAGGGGAAAAACTCTTTTCCGCGAGATATTGAAGCCAAAAATTATCCTTAATTTTTTAATAATGTAAAACGCTTTGCAGCAGCAAGCAGACATAGGCGAAACAGCTCGCGCGCCTATTGGCTGCTCTGCAGCAAATGCAGCAGCCTATCGAGAGAGACTCTGCGTGACGTAATGACCAATGGGGGCCATTCGCGCCCATATCGTCACGTCCCGCCAGAAGGGGTGTGGTCTCACCCTATAAATATGCTCGTTAGGCTGATACAAACTGGTTTTTACCGCTGAAGCGAACCAGAGCGTGTTCCAAGCACGGCAAGATACGCAGTACTCGTTCCCTCTCTAGAGAGAACAGAGGTTACGTTAGTAACCGAGTACGTTCTCTTACGAGAGTATCTCTCGTACTGCGTAATAGCTTACGCTAGGGGAACACAATGCAACACGCCGTGCGTACAGGGATCCAACACCAAAGTCCCGGGGGCCGAAGCCCAGGGCTCATGTAGTGCATAATCACCATAAACTCACATAGAGTGGAGAAAGAGAGGCTGGAAGCGTCATTCCTTATAAAAAAGCACCCAGCGGGGCTATTATATGACAACAAAACGCGCAGCCAGGGTGAAAGCTTTCAGCCTGATCTGGGTAGCCATACGTGTGTCAACACTCATGGGGCTGCAGTAAACTCAGCATCTGGGCCGCAAAGCGGGGCAGATAGCACTGAATTTTAAACCGCCAAAAGCTTAGCTTGTAAGGCGGGTACCTCCAGGTTATAGTATTTTATAAATGTAGACGGCGAGGCCCAGCCCGCGGCCGTACAGATATCTTGCAGGGAAACCCCGCTCGACCACGCCCACGAAGAGGCCACGCCTCTCGTGGAGTGCGCCCTGACACCCAAAGGGCACTGTAGGCCCTTCGCAGAGTAAGCGAGCGCAATGGCATCCACTATCCATCTGGATAGGCTCTGTTTTGAGGCGGCGAGTCCCTTGGAACGCCCGCCAAACAAAACAAAAAGCTGCTCCGTCTGTCTGAAAACAGACAAGCGTGACACATAAGCTCTCAATGCCCTGACGGGGCAAAGGAGACTCGCATCATCCTCCTCACTGAGAACCGGAAGGGCGGACAGGGAAATTACCTGGGCCCTGAACGGTGTATTGAGGGATTTCGGGACATACCCGTGCTTTGGTTTGAGAATGACCTTCGAGTCATTAGGCCCAAACTCCATACACGACGCGCTTACTGAAAGCGCCTGTAAGTCCCCTATGCGCTTCACTGAAGCGAGAGCCATGAGAAACACTGTTTTGAACGACAGGTGTTTCATGTCCACCAGCTGGATTGGCTCGAACGGGGCGCCTTTCATGGCCTCCAGGACCGTGGAAAGGTCCCACGTCGGGACTGAAGGGGGCCTGGGAGGGTTCAGCCTCCGAGCTCCCCTAAGGAAACGCACGACTAAGTCGTTTTTCCCCAGCGACTGGCCAGACACCGGTTTTGCAAACGTTGCTATGGCCGCCACATACACTTTGAGCGTGGATGGGGTCCTGCCCTTATCCAGTAGCTCTTGAAGGAAGGAAAGCACTTCCGAAACCCCGCACTCCACAGGTGAAAAGCTCTGGGCTTGACACCATGCAGAGAAAACAGACCATTTCGAGGAGTAGAGCCGCCTGGTAGACGGAGCTCTAGCCTGCGCGATCGTGTTTAACACTCCTTCTGGGAGGCTAGCGGGTACCCGTTGATGGCCCATGCGTGCAGGGACCACAACTCCGGGCGAGGGTGCCAAATCGAGCCCTCCGCCTGAGAGAGGAGGTCTCTCCTCAATGGTACAGGCCATGGGGCAGTGCTGGTCAGCTGCATCAGGGCAGGGAACCACGTCTGGTTTGTCCAGAGCGGAGCTACGAGCAGCACTGGGCATCCGTTCTCCCTGATTCGTTCCAACACCTGAGGCAGGAGCGAGACGGGAGGAAAAGCATATAGGGGGCAGCGGGGCCAAACATGAGCCAGCGCGTCCTTGCTTTTCGAGAAAAACTCCGGGCAATGAGCGTTTTCGTGGGACGCGAACAGGTCCACTTGTGCTCTGCCGAACGTTTTCCACAGCAGCTGGACCGTCTGCGGGTGCAGCGACCATTCCCCTGCCGGGACCTTGTTCCTGGACAGTCTGTCTGGTCCCACATTCAGGTGACCAGGCACGTGCGCCGCTCTCAGTGAGAGCAGGCTGTGCTGAGCCCAGACCAGAAGGCGTTCCGTCAGCCTGAGAAGGCTTCATGACCTGACGCCGCCCTGGCGATTTATGTATGCCACCACTGACATGTTGTCCGACCGGACTAAGACGTGGTGGCCTGTTATCTGGGGACAAAAAAGCCGTAGCGCTTTGTCGACTGCTATCATCTCCAAGCAGTTTATGTGAAGGAGCTTTTCCCGTTCTGACCACAGGCCAGCTAGCGGTCTGCCCTCGAGCAGCGCTCCCCACCCCGAGGTGGAGGCGTCCGTAGACACCACCTTCACACTCGAAGCGGTCCCCAGACTCACACCTGACTGATACCAGTCGGTCACTTTCCAAGGTTCCAGAGCTGAAACGCACTGAAGGTCGACCCTGAGGCGAAACAGACCCGCTGTCCATGCCCTGGGTGGAACCCGCGCTTTCAGCCACATCTGCAGTGGGCGCATGCGGAGCAAGCCCAACTGGAGTACAGAGGCTGCTGAGGCCATCAGCCCCAGCACTTTCTGAAACCTTTTGAGCGGAACTATCGCGCCGTGGCGGAAGGATTTCACGCCGCGCTGAATACTCAGTACGCGCTCTGGTGACAGGCGTGCTGTCATGGACAGCGAGTCCAACACGGTTCCCAGAAAGGAAATTTTCCGACTGGGAGACAGTGAGCTCTTCGCCCAATTGACTGTGAGGCCCAGCTCCTCGAGGTGCTCGAGTAATGCGGCCCTGTGTTCTATGAGCTCCGATCGTGATCGAGCTAGAATCAGCCAATCGTCCAAGTAGTTCAGGACTCGCATGCCCTGAAGTCTCAGGGGTGCGAGCGCCGCGTCCATGCACTTCGTAAATGTACGAGGTGCTAGGGACAGGCCGAACGGCAGGACTGTGTATTGATATGCCTGGCCCTCGAAGGCGAATCTCAAAAATCGCCTGTGATGGGACGCTATTTGTATCTGGAAATAGGCGTCTTTCAGATCTATTGACATAAACCAGTCCCCGTGGCGCACTTGCGCGAGGATTTTCCTGGTCGTAAGCATTCTGAACTGGCGTTTGACAAGCGCTCTGTTCAGCTGTCGCAGATCTAAAATGGGTCTGAGACCCCCATCCTTTTTCGGTACCAGAAAATATCTGCTGTATAGGCCCCCTTCGCTCTGAGCCTGAGATAAAGGTTCTATAGCCCCTTTGCTCAGGAGTTTCGCTATCTCGGCACGAAGTAGATGAGACACTTCGTTTTTCACCGTAGTTTCGACGCGCGCCGTATAGCGGCGTGGGCGTCGAGCGAATTGTAGCGAATAGCCTCTCTTTATAGTGTTCAGCACCCATTCTGATACCCCGGGAAGCTTTGACCACGCATCTGCATGAATAGCTAGGGGCAGAATGAAATCCGGGCTCTGGTCGCGGCAAAACGGCAACTCGAGAGCCCGGGCATACTGGGAACACAACACCGTGTTTACAGCGTTCGAGGCGGGGGGCGCGCTGATCACATCGGGCGGCCTGACCGCGCTCAGCTTTTTTATGGCAGATAGTGCAGAAAAAGCGAGCGGGGGAGATCCCGTAGGAATCGGCGTATCTGTGACAAAATGTGGGCGCGGGGCTGCGGGCACATTTATTACACTGAAAACACCGTCGTTCATGGCCGACTGAATGTGTGTTGGTTTCGTTTTTACAGAAACCAAGGGACACGCAGCATGTAGTGTGAGCGGGCATGGTGACATGGGCGCGTTTACTACATTGTTTGCACAATCGACCTGAGTCGAGTTTATTTGTGCTAGCCCTGCACCGTGGCGGGCTGTGTCTGGGTGTGGGAATGGGCACTGGGTGGGCATTCTTACAACACTCATAACACCATCGGCCGTGGCCGGATTGTTTGTGCGAGCCCTGCATTTTTGCGGGCTGTGTTTGTGTGTAGAAATGAGCCCTGGGTTGTAGGCATTTTCAATACACTCATAACACCATCGGCTGTGGCCGGAATATCAGAAAATACACCATTTATGTGATTTATCTGGGTCGCCGTGGGAACAGCATTAGTGTGCAGGCAAGCGGGCATGGTACTGGCTTGCTTACTGCAAAATACACTGGAACAGTCACATTTTCTGGAACTGAACGAGCGAAAATTTCAGTGGAAGTCTGGCCACGGCGAGACTGAAACACCGTCAATTTCCTAGGAAGCTAGGAAGACTTGTGTTGGTTTCGTTTTACAGAAACCGTGGTAGTGTATGTGGGCACTGGGTTGTGGGCACATTCACTACATTTAATGCACAGTTGTGCGAGCCCTGTACCGTGGCTGGCTGTGTTTGTGTGTAGAAATGAACACTGGGCTGTGAGCATTTTATTACACTTATAACACCATCGGCTGTGGCCGGAAAACCAGAAATACAATGATTTTTCTGGGTCGCCATGGAAACGGCCTTTATGTGCAGGCAAGCGGGCCGTGGTACCAGCTTGTTTACTGCAAAATACACTGGAACAGTCGCATTATCTGGAACTGAACGAGCGAAAAGTTTCGGTGGAAGTCTGGCCGCGGCGAGACTAAATTTTTATCTGCTGCGAGAGCCGGGATCGAACACGGGTCTCCCGCGTGAAAGCTTCAGGTTCCGCCACTGGGCCACAGGGAGAACTACACTAGTGCAAGCAGATAAGAGAGCATCATCACAGTTTTGTGTGTGCGTGTTATACAACAGGCTCATTGCTGCAATAATGACATTTTCAGCCGCTCAAACTAGGAGCTGAGAAATGTTTGAGAAATGGAGATTAATCCGGCCTCGGCGGGGACTAAAACACACTCTTTTCTCATTTGCCGGTGACGCACGCCCATGGGGGGCGGGGTAGAATGCTGGCCCGTTTCCTTGACGACTCGCGGACAGAAGGCGGAGGTCCACAGAGCTCGCCTGTTGCGCGGCGGTTGCGCGGGCGCTTCCCAATCGAGGCCGATGCTATCCACGGCCTGAGAGAGCAGACGCATCAGCTCAGTCTCAATGCCGGCTCTCTTACCAGTGGTCTGGCGGGAAACGCTAGCGGAGGGGAGGTCCACGGAGCTCGCCCAATCCTCGCTATCGGATGCCAGAAGAGAACACGCCTCGGTGGGTTCGTTAAACTCGTGGATGGACGCGGCGGCAGGCGGCGGCCGTTGTCCGTCAGTGAGCGACTCGAGCGAAACCGGCGAAGCTGGCGGGCGAACCGGCGAGCTTTGGCGGGCTGGAGAGAGCTCGGGAGCGCGCTGGGCGCGGCGCTTCTTGCGGCGCGGCACCACGGCGGGCTGCGGTGAAGGCTCGGAGAATGATGCCAGGCGAGTCCTCAGAGTCACCATGGGCAAAAGCTCGCAATGAGGGCATCCGCCGTCAGCGAGCGCGAGAGCCGCGTGATCCTCACCCAGGCAGGAAACACAGATGACGTGCCGGTCTCCATCGCTGAGCGGGGCGCGGCACGAGCCACAGGAAGGCATCTTTAAAAAGACGCAGCTCTTTTGTGAGAGAAGTGTGAGTCGCGAAGTAAGCTGACAAACACTCTCAACAGAGTAAATACACACAGAGTATGAAAAGGATATATAACGCCGGAAAGCGCAGCAGGTACGGCAGTTGAAGGCGGCGAGGCCAGCGACTCCAGAGCTCGTCCCGCTGAAAGGCTTGCTTCGACGGCGCGGCTTCTCACTCCGGATCCAGCGATGCGTGTGCTTCGCTGAAGAGGTAAAAATCAGCTTGTACCAGCCTAACGAGCATATTTATAGGGTGAGACCACGCCCCTTCTGGCGGTACGTGACGATATGGGCGCGAATGGCCCCCATTGGTCATTACGTCACGCAGAGTCTCTCTCGATAGGCTGCTGCATTTGCTGCAGAGCAGCCAATAGGCGCGCGAGCTGTTTCGCCTATGTCTGCTTGCTGCTGCAAAGCGTTTTACATTATTAAAAAATTAAGGATAATTTTTGGCTTCAATATCTCGCGGAAAAGAGTTTTTCCCCTAGCGTAAGCTATTACGCAGTACGAGAGATACTCTCGTAAGAGAACAGACTACAGACTGCCCTCTACTTATGTAATCCGTATGAAATGTGCATTTCTCTCTGGCGCGTTTACTACTGAAGATCGCGAGTCAGCATTGTCAACTTCATCTAGCCGACACTGACAAAGAAAACACTTGTTTATTAACTCCTTGCTATATTTTACATATTCATAATCATTCCTTTTGCCGGTTCTTTGTGACAGCTTTTAGGTGCTTTATTGGCAGCGCCACCCTTACATGTGGTGTGTGTGTGTGTGTGTGTGTGTGTGTGTGTGTGTGTGTGTGTGTGTGTGTGTGTGTGTGTGTGTGTTGTCCCCGCATTTAAAGATGGGACCCCCCAAAAATGTAATTAAATTAAATAAAGCAACATGGTAAAAAGATGAAAATTACTTGATTTTACTTTCAATTCCTTTTACATTCTCCAAGGTATTAACATTAACATTTTTCATTACTCCATGTAGGACGTTTCTGTGCATAAATGTAAGCACTGTGGCAGTAGATTAGTAATGCAATATTTAGAAAATCTACTCTTGTACTCTTGATACTCAAGTACTTTTAAAAACAAGTACTTTAGTACTTTTACTTAAGTAGACATCTGAATGTAGTACTTTTACTTGTACTTGAGTAAAATTTAGCAAGGGGTATCTGTACTTTTACTCAAGTAACAAAGCTCTGTACTCTGTCCGCCTCTGATGATTTTACTAAGTTTTTAAGTTGAAGGTGGAAATGTGTTAGAGAGCTGATAACATTAGTGTGAGTGAACAGAACTTTATCTAATTAAAGGGGCACTTGGCAACTATTTCAACTTAATAAAACCGTTTAGAAATCATTTGAATGGTTCAATAACCTGTTCTGGAGAGAATGGTGACTTTCCCCGCGTCCCCAGGCGGAAAACCAGCCTTGCAACATGTGGACTAACGTCCCGGTAAGTTGGAAATAGAAGTCTCGTGAGAAGCGAGAACGAGCGAGAAACACGAACTGCTTTATAGCAATTCGACATAATTCTATGATACTTTGTGTGATGTATTACCCACTCGGTAGACACAGCTCCACACGATAAAGTTGTCCGGCTCTGATAATAACAAATGCACATAAGCAGCGTAGCGGTAGAAAGCGGGAGGAAGGTGCCGCAAGTGAGTTTTTTTATGACAGTGTTGTGAAAGTATACGCCGCACAGCTGTAGGGGGATCTCGACGAGAAAACATGCCACAACAAAAGTGAAAATCAGCGAAGAAATGACTAGAGTTGCCAAATGCCCCTTTAAATTAGGTAAAATGTAATTTGAACATATTCTGTTAGATTATAGACATAATTTAAATGCCTTGGATTACTTATTAAACACTGTTTTGAATTTGAAAAGTGTGACTCTGGCAAATAAAATATAGTGTACTAGTAGACGTTTCATTCTCAGTTTTTTGCTGCCCTGTTCTTTGCAAGCACACTAAAATTGTGGTGTACAATGAACAGTGCAGTTATTATTATGAACAGATCAGAGATCCTAATATTTAGCATTTTAAATACGTAACTCCCCAAACATGATGGTGTTTTTTATGTATGACTTAGCAAAGGGTCAGTTAAATTAATTGCACTACCTGACTGAAAATATTGCCTTGGTGTGTTACAAGTTAAACTATTGCAGTGCAGCAGAACACATACACTGTAGCAAGCAAACAATCTACAACAATAGGAAGAATTGAAAATGTATTTGAGCCTATTTAAAAAATAATAATAAATAAAAACATCTTTGGCCTATATTTGTTATTTAACTCATACCTTGATGCTCTGTACCCTCAGCTAGTAACATGTTCATTCTTTTTCAGATTGATTTAGCCTAGACTGCTGCCATGTTCTCTACAATTTGAAGTGGAAAGTATATCTACATAAGACATCAAACCTCCTTTTTCTGGAACTGACTGAGGTCCCAAACTGTTCCTAGAACCAGGCAGGAACGTTTATGGTCAGGCAGACTCTCCATGATATAGTCCATATCCACTTGGCCCTTCAGTTCGGGAGGAGGCTTGCGCATGATGGAAGGACTGTTGGGGATATAGCCATACCAGTCGATCTGCAACATAAAGGTTTACTCACAGATATTAGCTTATAGATGTTATCCAGAATGTTGCCTAGCAATTGTTGATGCTCTTGTTGTGTGTAATGTAGTGTGTAATCTCACCTGTCCAAAGTTGACAGCGGCATGTTGTGCTGAAGCGTTGAATATCACAATGGTCAGGTACTTGACTAACTCCTCTCGAGTGTTCAGAGACTCTGGAAACTCTGGAAACAGTGGCAGTACGCATTTAACTTATGCTCACATTTAAGGGTGACTTGAAACAAGCATATAGAATATAGAAGAATACAAACAATCATGCATGCTTGCACAGACCGTTTACACCTGGTGTTTTAATCTCTTTTGTTCACTTTCAAGCACTTCTGCCCTGATTTCTTCAAGGGGAGGGTCTATGGGCGGGTAAAGTTTTTTCAGATCTTTTAATCTAATGGACAAAATAAGCTTGCGCAATGTACATATGAACGTGACTGGAGACATCGGAAGAACACACAGAGAGTAGCGTGTTTTACAGTGTCACTGTTACATATGTTACATGTACTTACTATACTAATAACTATTTATTGTGTATAATTACATGCAATTAAACCTAAACCGGACCAAACCTAATCCTAACCCAATTGGAAGTATATGTTGTTACCAGTGTTGGGCAAGCTACTTAGAAAATGTAGTGAGCTAAGCTAGCAGTTACTCTACATTAAAAGTAGCTTCACTACACTGAAGCTACCACCCTGGGAAATGTAGAAAGCTAAAGCTACAGCGATATGGCAAAAGTATTTTACTACATCTAAGCTATTTAAAAAAAAAAAAAAAATCATATTGAACCAACTTCATTCCAAGTCAATGCTATCTCGGTAATCAATAAAACTGTCAATCAAACATATAGACGGGCATAATTTGTCAGTTCACTTGTTTATTCAACAATTGTTCCAAAACAAGTTGGCAAAAAAACAAAAAACATAACTATATAAAACCATATAACTATATAAAACTATAACAAGACCAGGTGTCAAGAGTGTGTGCATCTTTTCCCATTAAGTACAGTTCTCACGTGTCTGCCCAAGGACTGATATTGGTATGTGATGTCACACCATACGGAGCAGAAGATGATAGTAATCATGAAATATGAAAGCTGTTTTATTTTTCCCCACATTCCAAATTCAGTTTTATTTTGTTTTCATTTTTCTGGACTCCCATTTTAATGGTTAAATAAAATGTTAGTAATCAAAAACATGTGTAATTAATTGGAATCATAAAACGTATACAATTTAACAATAATTTATTTATTATGTAATTAAAATTACATTTTAAGGGCACTATGAAATGTTTTTTTTTTTATGGTTTAAATTGTAATGACCAATTATTTAAAATGTAGGCCTAATGATTTAAGCAAAACTTTCTTCAAAGGTTAAACCAACCTTTTATTTTGACAGGCATGCCATGTAGACCTTTGAATCTCTCTGTGTTTTTTTTAATATGACGGTTGTTTTTCTCAAATCAAGATAAAATGCTGATAAAGTGACTCTCAGAACGGCTGTGTAGATGAAGTGCATGCATTTGTCCTCGTATAGGCTAAAAACATCACGAGCGTGCTTCAGTGTGTGTGTGTGTGTGTGTGTGTGTGTGGTAAATTAATCCGCGCGTCTGAGCCATTCCTTCACAGAGACACGCAGCAGAACATGCATGATTCCTTTTTAAATAGTCTTTATGCGGTTTAATATTCACAGACACTAGTCTATATCGCGATTTTAATTAAGTTTACTTAACTTATTTTCATCCAAGATCTGACAAATTCCATGAAATTCCGCGTTATACTGTAAATTTCGTTTTTATGCATGGATAGCCTACCGCGATTCAGTCCATGTTTTCCTCATTGCGGTAAAATCATATGGCCCAGGTTGTCAACCACCGTAAAACAAGAAGAAGAAGTCGCCGTCACTACTGATCCAGCATCAGTGATACTTAGCAGTTGTATTTCCGATTTGAGCTTTAGAAATGCTTGGGAAAATGTAGCTTGTGTGGAGTGGACGCTACCACACTACTCAATCAAAAAAAGAGCTTCACTACTGAAAAGCTATTTGATTCAGAAAAAAGCGACGCTACCACCACGCTACTGAGAAATGTAGTTAAACAAGTAGCATCACTACTTGTAGCGACGCTACCGCCCAACCCTGGTTGTTACTTAATTTTACTCAGTAAATGTGTAATTACAGTGAAACCCTTTATTTTAAAACAACACATGTTAAGAAATGCGTATTTTTTTTCCAAGCGCTCTGCCTCATTTTTTTCTCTAAATAATTATTTTGAGTCGATTTTGTTCAAAGACTTCGGCTGGATCCTACCACAGAGTAGGTACATATTTATATTCATGTTTAGAAGAGGCACGCTTTCCCAGTGTTATCCATAGAGTCTCACTGTATGGGTTAGAAGGAGCAGCCGTGATCGACTCTCTCTGCGTAAAGCTCTGTCTTTTCCTTTACCCCAACAATTAAGGAATAGGCGGATTATGAAGGGCGCTGAAAGGGACAGCAATTGTGCCATTTTGGTAGGGATCCCGGTTCATTAGTTCAGTTCTGACGTAACGTTAAACGTGACTGACTGTGGTTCTTCTGTGGCTGTTCGAACACATTCGTCCACATGAATGTTTACACTACGAAAGCAACTAATGCGTTTTCGACTAACTCTCGAAGTGGTTCAAAGTCAACAAGCTTTAGACCCTGTTTACAACTGTATTTAGCGCCGTCCATTTGTGTTCCGATCGACCTAAACCTCTTAATACCAGATGTAAACAGGGCGTTTGATAAATTAAACCTGTACTCACTGTGAGAATTATTCATGCCACTGGAAACATCCTCAACAAAGCCTTGAATCTCTCCATCACTTTTAACGGCCTCATCGCTGACATAGTAGATCTCGACCACAGCTGAAACAAAACTACAGGAAAATCAAAAAGATGTTAATAACATTAACAAAATGAGTGTATGTGGACTAATTTGTACTTTTGCACTAGTAGTACATGATCTGAACTGTTGCTGCACTTACCCGTGTATTGCCTCCCAGATCTTCATGCCATCATCTCTATAATAGTACTTGGGCACATCTTTCATTCCTCGAGCTTTTATGGTCTCAGGGAAGCACAGGGACTCATAGGTTAAAGTCTCCATGGCACTTTGAATCACTTTAGCCATCCCATCTCTACCGATGCTGCTAATCTTTGGATACCAAGAATTCAGTTAATCTTTTCAGCACTTATTTAGCCTACTCAAGTGACCATCTAGGGGATTATGGGTGAAGTTTTATTCTGGTGGGTTTTTTTTAGGAACTGGTCTGACGGTTTAAGCAAACACCAGTTAACTAAATACAACGCAGCCTATGAAATAGAAGTAAGAGCATTCAGCAAAAAGACTTGTTAACACTGTGTGCTTCTTTAAACCTATAGCAAGGACAGAAATTGTGGCTTGGCAGACAAAGACAAAATAATCAAATTTGAATAGCAATCTAAATTGCTAGCTTTAGATCCTAGCGAGATGCTTTTTATGTGTGGATATATTAAATTAGGTGTAAAGCTACCTGGCTGAAGATCCCGTCTTCACTGACGAGCCGTTTACGTGCCTTTGCATTGATTGCAATTGTGAAACGAATATGAGGTTTCAGTAACTGTAAAAAGCAAATGATGCATTCAAACATGTGCATTAAATCATAAAAATGTATTCAAAAAGCATAACCTGAAAGAGGAACTGTGCTTTCAGTGTCCTGCCCTGGAAGCTTTTGGTTAACATTAAACCATTGTTAAAAAAATAAAGAAAAGGCAAGGATATCAGAACCAGCAACCCTTCATCAATAAATTGACATGTGAAACCACAATCGTCAGTTTAGCCCTGAATCTAAATATCATGACGATGTATTGAGAGACATGTACCTTGTATACAGGGTGGACTGCAGGGAGCTGTCTGTACATGGCCATTTCAAAAACCTCTGATATCAGATGTGTCTTGAGAAGGTGCGTGACCAACTGGTGTACAATGAAGTCGGCAGATTTCACCCACATCTTGGCAAGCATCCAATCATATTCCTTATCACTCGGGAGAAAGATTGGGCTCTTTTCCCCTGAGGTTTGACTGAGCTGATTTAGATATAATAAAGCCAAACAGGATATTTTTACTTCAGTGAGTAGATTCACAGCAAAAGCACTTTTATTTTTAATTTATGTTTTAATTTGTTACTGATTGTATATGGGACAGATACCTGAATGGCAATTGGCACAATTTGGTCCAATCTGTTCTTGTACAGCAGGCAGAGGGGCGCATTCAGACAGACCTGATTGCTGGATGTTGGGACTCCCTCCAGTATTTCATAATCCACTATGTAGATGTTTCCTGCCTATAAACATGTATACAGGTGCAAAGTTTAAAACTAATTATTTGTGGGTTAAAATAACATTGATTTGAGTCATTTATGTAAATAAAATTATGTGAAGTGTTATTAATTATGTGAATTATGTGAAATTATATTATACAAGCCTTGGATTTGATTATTGACCAATAGACCCCTTTTCAGTTGTTAAAAATGGTGACTTTTTTTGTGGGCGGAGCTTAGGTGGAGGCAGAACGATCCCTCTGGCCGCTTCACTAACGTTAGTTTGCAAGTTTTGTTAGCTTGTTTTTTAACAAAGACTGGAGAAAATCAGATTTTATCTTAATGTGTAAGGTCACTCACTGTCCAGGACCGCTATTGTTATTTTCAAAAGTTAATTTTAACTGACGGAACCAGATTGGCCGACCCGTAGCCTACACGCTCACTCAACGCATGGACGATCTAACAGGATTAACGTTACCTCGGTTGAGTGGCCTGACTTCTACACCTAGGTCTAACGTTACCTTATAAAGAAACCGAGCGTAAAGAGAAACTGAGGGCATATAAATCTTTAGATACCTATATAACTATGTGCTGAATGGTCATGTACAGGACTTGTGTGTGCGATCCGCAGGTCTCTCTAGCCA